TGAACCTAAAAAAGAGTATGTTAATAAATTGTGTAACAATAGTAGGATAATACAATATATGAAAATTCGCTCTGATAATTCGTCTGTGCAAAATTAATAATTAATTTTAAATAATTTTTTAAGTAATTTTTCAGTTAAGTAAGTTCAGAAGTTTGTAAAAAAATGGTATTAATATATAATAAATTAAATCATTCTCGCAAATAAAACAGAATGGCTAGTGGTTTTTAAACACTTCCAGGCAAAAACCCAGATACTGAAGTAAAAATCCAGGTACCAAAATTGAAGGAAAAATGCAAAAAAAGAAATTATTTCCGAACGTTGCCTCATAATAGTTTACCTACTCTATCAAGCTCAAATGAACCCTAAATTATGTCAAAACCCTACATTGGCAGTTACAATTTTTACATTTAGATTGAATATGCATACCGATCTATCAGCTCATCTACATACTGATAAATGCAATCAGTTGATAACCGATTGGAGACAGTGTCGATCCGATCATATGGTACTGCAGCTGGTCGGATATTGCAACTCAAATTACTCGGAAATGCTCTCCTGTCTGAAGGAAGAACGGATTGCAAAGCGAACTGAAAGCTTAAAGATGTCGAGTGAATGGAAAAGTAGGGTCAATAAGATGAAAGGAGCTGAAAAAGCGGAACTCAATTAGTGTCTTCCGCATAGATTTTAAAAAACGTATTTATAATACTGTAGAAATAAATAAACGACTAATTAACCCCTATTTTTTTATTACATCAACACGTTGGCATTCAATGTTGATTCCAGATGGAAACTAATTATTTCTTTGGCATTGAAAATCGAAAACACCATTTTCAGTAAATAACAGATTCTATTGATTGCGCAAATGTTATAAATTTACTTTCCATTTTTGTCTACTGTTATACTTAACAGTTGTTGATAGGAATCACTGGCCAAACAAATTTCCCATTAACGCGCTCCTTCGCTTAATAGCTCTTAATAGATATAAAAGCAAAAGTCAATAATGAAGTTGTGAACGTTTCACATATAATGGTGAAGCTAAACCTTATTCAAGAGATTTCTCGACAGGCTGGAGAATAAACACTTTTAAGTGGTAAGTTTGAGCTTGAAATTGGTTTGAATATATGTATTATGTATACATGTTATGAACTATAAAACGGTAAACAGTAGAAAAGAGTGAAATACTAGTGTTCTATTAAACTCCAAATTCGATATTAACGGCGTTTTGGTAAGCGCACAAAATACAACTTCACCCAAAAAATGTAAATTTTATGGCTAACTTTCCAGTAAAATTAGATCATCACAGATAAATCGCTGCATTATATGGTATCTTTATATTTTTTCCGGTTCTTCTTAAATTGTTTTAAATTTAACAAAGAAAGAAAAAAAAATTTCAAGAAAGTTGAAAACTTTCACTAAATTCTTAATTTTAGTTCGTTCTTCGCTCCCTTATCTGCTCCCAGAACATAAAATTGGGATGAATGCAAATAATTGATTACTAATCATTTAGTTTACATACACTATAAAAACGAAATGCATTCGTTATGAGCAGTTTCGCCATTATCCGTGTTTTATTACTGAGTTTTCGTAAATTTACATGTCTTGACCATGGAATATAAACCGACATAAAATCCGGTAAGTATCCGTGCCTCAAAACGATCTCGACGTTGAGTATGTAATTAGTTATTTGCATGTCTGATTGCGTTTGCCGAGATTTTATGTGGAATTAGCCAATTGCAAAAAATCACCAATAATCAGGAAAATGATTTGAAAAAATCCCATTTTACATAAAAATAACTTGCTCAACGATCCTTCACAGTTTGACGACATTTGCTCGACTATCGTAGCTCATTAAATTAATGATGAACACATGTAGTTTTGCGAGTGAATGGGTATTTTTACCCAACCTTCCACCACCAGTATTACGGTCACTGTTGCGACAAGGAAAGCGATGTACTCGTAGGTATACCTACTTTTAGCTGCTAGTGTGATTAGAAAAACGTAATTCTCGGAAAATATGCCACCAATAATTCTAAAGCAGATTATGGTAATAAAGGAACATTTCCACCTGTTTAAAACGCTGAAAACCGTACATTTAATCAATCTTAGAATTCGTGGAATGTTCAAAGCAGGGTGATGACCTTAATTCGGTAAGTCCAAGTGTTTAGCAAATGAAAGTAGAAACATTTTTTCAGGGGCATACTTTTTATTTAACTAGGATGAATGTGCTTGTAATATTTAACAGCTTATTTTAAGTGTAATATTTAATAAAATTTTCCGAAGTCAGTTATACAATGTTTTGTAATTAATAGTAGTTTCTCGAATCGCATAATTTTAAAACGCTCAAAATTATCGTGAGGAAGCGCTCCAAATGCAAGTGAAATCTAATAGCTCGTTTCAAATTTCTAAAAAAGTTTGGTACATTTGTGAATACAAAACAAAATGGAATATTCTTCGAGTATGCAAAAGGTTTGTTATATATTATGTTCATATTCAAATCATTTTATATAAATTAATAGCTAATAAAACAGTATATCTCGAAAATTAATCGATTAAAAATCGTTAGCAGTTTGATGATGTTCGAAAACTTGCAAGAAATAGACTGACTATAATATTATATTAATTCTCAGTCTAAGACATTGTAGCTGAAAGTTACACACACATTTTATCAAACATAATGTTTTTTTTTAATCAACAGCAGTCTTCATTTATAGCAGACTTAAGTCAAAAACAAATATCTCACGATTCCTCGTCGTAAATTCTTTGTTAATACTAAAGTACTTGAATTTGCTAATATTTACATGCTGATAACTTCTGCATATATGGTTAATCCTAAAGTTCAACGTTATATATATAGTGTTATATACACAAATTAGTGCAAAAAATGTTTACCAAAGTGTCGTAAATTATCAAACATTATCGAGTTAAGTCTCAATTTGCGTTGCCAAATATTAGAAAGCACTGCTAAAACATTATGTATGGTTAGTAGGCAAAGAGGCTAACTGAGGTATCGAAGCAAAGATATTTTCACTAGCCAGAAAAATATAAAATGATACATATATATTCCCTATTGCAATAGAAATTACTTATTCCAAACAATCTTTAGTGAGTAATTATAAGGCCATTGGAAGCTAATGAGCTTATCTACTCTACTGAAAATATGTACCTACTACTAGCCAATGTTTAAAGCTTATTAATCTTTAAAGTTTTTTAAAATGTTTTTTTTATTAGTTGACTGCATCTAAAATTTCGTTGGTTACAAATATTTAAGCTAAATCAAAAAAAAATTGTGACAAAAGCTCCGCCTTTCCAATCAAAAATGAAACCGCTGCTAGACAGTCTAACTGTTAATTGAAACTAATGATTCCAGTTTAATAGACTTAATAAACAAATGACGAATTTTTGATGTAAATTAATTTTTACTGAACATGTCAAGGAATATTTATTTAACATTAACTATGATTATTGATGGCTGCCACTTTTTTTCTTTAAACTCACACGACAGAAATTAAATTTTATTTATAGACAAGTTTTCAAATAGCTATAGAGTTGTGGCTGACATTATCTGATTCTGCAAATGTACTTAATAATGAATTTAATACCGAATTGCTGTATTGAATATTTTAGTGATTTTCTAAGGTTTAATAACTGCACAAAAAATAAACGTGAAAGTGTCAGCCTTCAATGCTTCCAGGTTTTTGTTACCACCAATTTTGATTAAATTCATGATATGGCAAAATAGTGCTAAAGTCACTTTAGCTGCTGTAGCGGCTCTAAAAAAAGTCAATATACTTAAAAGCTTTAATTCAGCTAAATGTGAGCAATTATTGTCTCTTAAATTTACTATTTTATAAGCAATTGAAACGATACAAATTTGCAATTCATGGACATGGAATATTTTTTTGAAAATAATTACTATTCACACTGAACACTTACTTTCTACAAGTTTTCTGGGTTTACAAGCCGTGAACCATTAAAATTGTTTCTTAACGTTTCGATCACAGTTGCAGTAAACATTTTCGAATGCGATGAAGTGTCTCATAGTCCGGAGGGAGAGAGCAATTTAAATGGGTTATGGCTGATAAGTAAGGAACATTTTTCAACTAATAGTTGCTATTCATTATTCCTCAAAACCTGTAAATATATGAACATTTTCTAAAATAACCGGATTCAAAATATCAAAAGCATCAAATGATTAGCATCGGTAGTTTAGAGTTGGCACACGCAAATTGGTTCTATTCTCTATCATGCGACATAATATTTCTCCGAAAAAAATTATTTTAAATCTCATTTCCTCCCATTTTTCTGTACACAGATGATTCCAATTAACGGAAAAATTAACTATATTACACAGAAAAACTATAGACAATTACGTGAGTATCAAAGTAATCACTCTGTATCGAACATACCCAATTAAATTCATTCAACCCATCAATTAAGTCCGGTTTCACCAAGCAATAATTTGAAGAGCATCCAGAACGTTTTATTCAGTTTTATTAAAAGTCAGAGTAGTTAGCAAATTTGCAATATCATTTGAATTTTAGGACTTCTAGCAGAGACGCAAAAGCTCATGACTAAACGTAATTCCGGCCGCAAAGTTAAACAAAGATAATAAAAATTTTGAAGTTAAATATTGACTTTTTTGTGTATTTAAAAAATGAACAAACCGCTGCACAACCGCCAGGAGAACTATTACGAAAATCAAAATGGGGAAAAAGAAGTCACTTACACTTTCGACGCGCCGGAAGAAAAAGTGGAAAATTTGATGGCAACCCATATTAGAACTGGAGCTTGGCAAATACTGCCTTCAGCATGTGGTAAGTGATAAGCATTGTTTTAAAATAATTACTTAACAAAACTTGTCCTCTAGTAAACGGGTAATAATAATATCGTGGCGTCTTGGAACCGTTTATTAATTGCATGCAAATTTCCCAATGAAATTTATTGAAATGTCTTATAAATTTGTCCAATAGAATCCTTCTAAGTGAATATGATTTCTGCAGTAATTGATACTTGATTTTCATTGGATGACGCAATGAAGCTGAGACTAATTTTAAAATATCATTATAAAGATGTTGCATTCGTCGCTACTTATAAGGAAAAATCACCCAAAGTAAATATTACTAGTGAAAGTATAATTTATTTCTTCACTGTGCAAACATCGCTCAAACCCAAACAATATTTTAAGTCGATGTTTAAATCAAATGTTTCATTTTTTTGCACGAAATATTTGGATATTTCGAATATTTAAAACAAACTTCCCCATCTCAAATGTTAGTCCAAATTATTCCGCAGCTAATGTCTGGCTGACAAAAATTGAAAATTTTGTAGATAAAAATCTTCTGCAGATAAACTATCGAATTTCCAGTCATGTGAATAATTTAGTACTAATACCGTACCTAATAAAGTAAGTCGTAAAACATAAAGAATGCTCTTTTAGTTGAGAGTTTAACATTCATAATTTATGATCAAAATTGAATTCGCTTCTGCGAAAATGTTCTCTACGCGACCGCGGAAAATGTTTCATGAACAGACTTTTCAAGGTATAATTCAAGTACGAGATCAACTGGAAAATCCAAACTTTGTTTAGATGCAAATATTCTAAATGAGCCCGTTCTAATAGCGATTTCCTTCAAACGCACTGCTTAAGTCAAATCATATAGATTAAATAAATACACATAATATGCAACTAGGTCAAGTCACATATGCTAAGGCTGTATGAACGTATACAAAACAATTTAAGCGATCAATTGTTAGTTATAAAATGTACTACTTCGAGGAACAAATGAAGAGAATTTTAAATATAAATGTCAATAAGCACGCGATTATTCAAACAAAACTTTTTCTGGGTTCAAATATTGCTATTTGTTGAATATAACGCAGTATCCGATTGTTTGAACTAAGGGGTTTATTGTAGATAATAAATCGATCAGTCTGCTCAAGTCTCAAAATAATGAATAATAAAAGTGCATGTGATGGGACACTCCTCACATAAAACGGACATGAATTTTAAAGGATAGCTAGATATTTTTTAATATACCTACAATATTTATTTAACCAACATCAAACAATCCAGGAAGATACAGTACCTTTCAAAATTTGAGTACATTCACTAATCACTCGGCACTATTTTATCACATTGAATAACAATATAATTTATTTATTTTCATGTAATAAACATGTAAAAAATTGTTCGTATGATTAAATTGTCTACGACTCGTTTGGTTCACATGTTACTTAATTGATTATAATTTGGCATCGACGTTGCGTAATTAGTTGAGCTGTAAAAGTTGCATGTGCAGACAGTCATCTGCAATGTATGAGATTCGTTAAGTGAAACACGTGTAGAATTAATAAGAATTTTGTGTCAAAACCTCTGTTTATTTTAATAAAATCTTCAAAGTCCGAAGCCGATTTATTTCAGATTATACAGAGTGAGCGTTTACGCAAATATTGAATTTTGTACAAGTTTGATTATATTTGATTAATAATTCTCATTCCGGGATTTCAATTTTAGCAACTAAACTTTGTTGCAAAAAGAATGCGTTTTATCAGCAACAGATAATGTGATCAACTATAGGTTCGAATCTTTAAATCGAAGAGACATTAAAACAACAAATTGGTCTCGAAAATTCATATTAAATGTTAAAAATATTTAGCGATTTTGCAATCAAAAAGAGATTTTAGTATTACATAGGCAAACGCTCAATGGTAGACAATAGACAGACGGCAAAGCTAACCTGAGGCTTTTAAATAGACCGTAATAAATTATAAATTTATTATAAAAAGATAATAAAATACATTTTTTGTATATTCAATCTGGCCATGAGAGTTTTTATCGCCATTGCACTGTGGTTTCATCTGCGGTCACGTATCAAAAATATCCATAATTTTATTTTGCCTTAAAGCATTGTCAAATTACTCAGAAATATCTAAATTTTACTAACTTGAACCGGAAAAAACTAGTTCATTAGATGTAAGAAATAATTTTCACCTGTGTGAAAACAACAGACAGAAATTGTGAAAACAAGCGCTGTAATAATGGAATGGGAGTGTAAGGGTATACATGTTTATAGTTAGAATTGTAAATGCGTATGTAATTAATGTATCCTATATTTTTTTCGAGTATCCTCCATCAACTTTTTTTTGCATAGTTTATTTTAATGTTGAAAATATGGTAGCTTTTAAATACTTTACCTCACGCTACCCCGCATATTAGATGCCTTCAAAAAATGCTTGAAATTTCGACTTTAAGATTGAATAAGGAAAAATGTCGCCAAATGTCGCGGAATGTGCATAAGAAGATATTTTATTATCCCTCTTGGTTAGTTTTGACTGCTTGTATTTTCCAATAATTAACGTTTTGTGACTAAACTGCTCAACTTTTCAAATTATATCAATATGGGATTAGTAACAAATCTAGTAACAATAAAATATGTAAGAATATGTGCTGTTTTAAACCATTTTTTACCAAAAAACATCACTGGACTAAAATGACAAGGTTATTGATTGAACTTTGGCCACCCCCTTTTTGCATCTAATTTGCAATTTAGTGAAAAATGTTAAATACAAAAGTTGTAGATATTAACGTCTAGTTTATTTTAAGATAATACCTATTGATACAGGGTGTCTCAAATTCAAGTGGCAGACCAAACTTACCTTTTTTTAAATCGAATGCCGTACTTTTTATTGCATATTCGAACTATTCGCACAATTCTAAGCCTATTCGATATAAATGTTCTATAATTATTTTCAACTGTTTTTGACTTTGGCAACTTTGGCCACCCCGTTTCTTCATCTAATTTGAAATTTATCTAATTTGAAATAAATAATCTTTATTTCCTATAGAAAAAGGCTATCGATAGAATGTAAATGGGGTCCAAATGGGGCTCCCATTTACTGAAATACCATGAATTTCGATCCCCCATTCCAAACGTGAGTACCCCAGGCCATTTCCGTTACAAYATTATGAATATTGTAGCGAATTAAATTATCTGCGACTTTTGTTTCAACATTTTTTTAATACGTTAAACCGTTTTAGAGATAGAGGGTGGAGAGAGAGCAGTGTTTAACTATGTACAGGGTGGTTATTGCTAATTTGAAATTTAGTGAAAAATGTATAATACCAAAGTTGCAGATATTAACTTCTAGTTTATTTTAAGGTAGTATCGATTGATACAGGGTGTCTGAAATTCAAGTGACAGACCAAACTTACCTTTTTTAATTGGAATGCCGTACTTTTTATTGCATATTCGAGCTATTCGAAAAACTCTAGGCTCATTCTATATAAATGTTCAATATTAATTTTCAACTGTTTTTGAGTTTTTTTAAAAACCAATATTGATTGACCTTTGGCCATCCCGTATTAACATTGAATTTGAAAATTAGAGAAAAATATTAATAAAAAGTACGGCCTTACATTTAAAGAAAGATAAGTTTAGTCTGCCACTTGAATTTGAGACACCCTGTATCAATTGGTATTATCTTAAAATAAACTAGACGTTAATATCTACAATTTTTGTATTCAACATTTTTCTCTAAATTTCAAATTATATGCAAAAACGGGGTGGCCAAAGTTCAATCAATAACCCTGTACACTAAAAAAGGTAGTGTTAAAAAAACGTATTTGTTTGTTACAGATAACAAAGTTAATTCACTTTTATCAGGATATAACTTTTTGATATTTGGCTTTTGAAAAAAGCTGATACTAACGTAGGAAATATCCGTAAAATCTTAGCGGAGTTAATTACTACTCCGCTCAGTAGCATCAATGGAAAGATTGGATAGAAACAATCGATTTGGAGAATCGTATTTCCTATCTTTCTACCTTTCCTATCTTGTGAACTACCACTTGAACAAACGTTTTCACTTCAACAAGAGGAAGTGGTACATATACCCGTAAAACGCCAAGAGTTTCTGGAAGATCATGTACTGTGAACAAAAAAAAGCAAAAGATTTTAAAAAGATTTTGAAGAATGTAGTGGGAGTTCGAAACGCAGAAGATTGTCCAATTTACGGCTTAACAGAAACGAAATACTTTCACTCATCGTCGAAGCGAAAGTGACCAAGCATCAATATATTTTAATTAATGAGTTCGTTAATTCAAAAGTTGTATCAAATCCTTTTCCTTCTTACCAGAAAATTGTTAAAGCAAAAGAAAAGTGCTATTCTTCTGGTAAACAAGTATCGGAGACATCTGCAGAAGTTGAGTTGCAATCGCTCTTAGATCATACTCATATTAAGCCTGATTGTGGAAAAGCCGCGAAGTGGAGGAAGTGGTACATCTGACGATGGAAATACCGCACGACGATTTTTTACAAATTCTGGTATTTTGTCTGAAATTACAGGCCTAAATAGAGACCTTATATATACATATATAATCTGGATATAAACTTAATTCAAATTTTTTTTAAATATATGCTTTAAAAATAGCTAGAGGACTTAGACCTATCTACCCGCTTCAGCTGACAAAATAATTGTACTTGCACTCCTATCCATAGGCGAACTTTCTGAAGAAGCTGCATAATTGCCCAACCAAAACATGAAATTATTTAGACGTGATAATACTAGAAAAGCTTCTCGTATTCTTACAAACACAAATCTTTTGCATAGACTTATTTTATATTCAGATCCATTCGATCCATTCGATGTTATTAAAGGATGTGTTTCATCTGCTACAAGAAGGTCAATAACGTAACTTCAAACTTTTACCAAGTCAGAAGTTTAGTTAGTTATTGTTAAACCTTACGTGTAAATGTTTGGTGCCACTTAATCTTAAGTTTTCCATAATCTTGAAAATTATGTAATGAATGCCTTGGATTTATTTCATACTTATGTTTACTTTGTTACATTTTAATACTATCTTTTCAAATTGAAACTGTTATACCTAAGCTCTCATTAAAATCATATTTCTCTAATAGCTCTAATAAAAAAATAAAAAATAGCTCTCATAAAAGATATTTCATAATCTTAGCTGGTCTATAAATGTAATCAAATTGTATTAAAAGCCATTCAGCTTTTTTTAAAATAATTTACTTGCTTTTATAATAAATATTTTCCCCAATCAAATGGCTTGAAAAGTGGTCCATAACTTATCTATCGAGTTTTCAAGGTTTCTCCCCAGTTTAGTCCAAATAACTGTTAATTTATTTTCCAAAACATATTTGAAAAATTGATTTTCGAATGAAAATCTTACATTTTAAATAACATATTAACTCTAAAACCAAAGTGATCGTATTGCCCATAAGGCGGGACCACTGTGCATTGGTGGAAGTTGGTGAGTTTTTCGGGCTTTTAGGTCGTCGTGGAAATAAGTTTTTTCTTCCCACTTCGCTAACAAGAACTACAGAAAAATAAAAATAGAAACTAAAAAAATTAACGTAATTTTAAGAATGCATGATAAACATGGGAAAAATAAGTTATGTTGTGTTTTCTGAACACAACCATCTGTAACAATGTTGGAACAAAACTTGGCAGAATATTGTAAGCTTTCGAGTGAAGCAACTCTGAGGGGACGATATACTTACGATGTTTTCCTTAAATAAAATTAATTTTCAAGTTTTCATATTTATTTGGGAAGCGAAAATATATCTTCACTATTTGGTTTGGAGTAAAAAATTTAAATGGTTTTATCATCAATTAATTAGATCAAGTCAAGTTTGAAATAATAACTTGCATTCAGTTTCAAGAATGCAAGAAAATTATTACAACTTAATTCATTAAACTCAGTCAATCACACTTGTTTTATACAGGGTGATTCAATAGTACTCTCACAAACTTCAGAAAATGATCGCTAGCATTATTCTAAGATGAAAATTGCTAATAAATGAGGGTTCTTAAGGACCTCAAATGTTCATATTTCTATTGAATGAAACTATTTCTTTTGTTCTCCAGTGGCGCGCGTATCGTCACAACCACAGCACAAAGCATATAATATAATATTTATGCTGTGGTCACAACATTCAATATTTTTGAAGAAAAAAATAGTGCGCCACTGATTTATCAAAAAAAAAAAATTACTTTTGATTGCCTGTTCAATTCCAAACAAAAAACTTTACTTGAGTTAAAATCACTTCCTTGGAAAGGGAGTGTTTAAAACAATTTGTATTTCAATTGACATGGATTTCAGCTTCAAGATACAACTGTTCGTTATTACAGGCTTGTGTGAATATATACTGAATTAATGCTGATGAGTTTACATGCTATCTGTGAAACTAAAGAACATTATGTACTTCGTAAGCATAATTAAATATTTCCTTTATGCTTAGCAGCGAAATAGAATATCATGAATTTGTAAAGTTGGCTAAATAGGATATCATAACTCTTGAGTTTTCGTTGTACAACGCATCATTCTCATGTAAACAAATATAAAATGTTTAAATGCATTGGAATGTTTTTCTCAAATCGCTCCAAAATCCGATCGAGATGCTTAATATAAACCATCCTTAACAATTTGTATTTTTTCTTAATTTCTAGCCTCTCTCACATGTATTCCTTTCGGATTAATGCTTGGATGGCCCTCTTCGAACTACCAGATTCTGTTATCAGCAGACTCACCTATAAAAATCACTATGGATCAAAGCGCAATGATAGCTGGATTCCTCCTATTTGGTGTGTCATTCGGGACAATGTTTTCGTCCAAACAACTAGGATTGGGGCCGAAATATGGCATAATTTTTGGAAATATCTGTATACTTCTCGGATGGATCATCATGTGGAGGGCGCAGGATATTTACGGTCTTTTAGTGAGCAGGATCATGATAGGGGCTGGTCATGGATATGCCATGGGGCAAATAAAGAATTACATATTAGAAATGACCGAAGCGCCCTTATCGGAGTATTTGATTAAGCTGGTGAATTTTTATGGGTTTTCTGGATTTGTGTTAGCGTATGTTGTAGGGCCGTTTGTGGATTTTACGCAATATTCACTTATCAGTTTGATTGTGTCTGCGTTCGTACTTTCCGCTCAATTTTTGTTGCCTTTGACGCCCAAAGAGTTGATTCGGTCCCAAAAAATCGAAGACGCCAAGAAGCTTTTGTCGTTCCTCAAACCGGATATAAACCCCGAAGAAGAGAGTCGGAAATTGATTCAAAATATATCCGAGGAACCTATTCAAAATGGGATTTTGCGAATTATGAAAGATAAAACTTTGCGGATTAATTTTCTGAAGTTAACAGTTCTTTTAATATGCCAGCAATATTGCGGCGCTCCACCTACATTGGTGTACACGCAAATCATATTTAGCAAATCAAATGTGCCTTATCCAGAGATGATTTCGCTTGGCTACGCAGTATTATTTTTTATATCGATAGTTATAGGTACTTTCGTATCTCCCAGATACAACAAAAAAGCTCTACTACTTATATCTAGTTGTAGTGTTCTGATTTTGTATATGTGTAAAATTATTGTGATATATTTTAAAATGAATGATAACTATTTTAGATATACGTCTGTGATAGTCATGTATTTATTTATAATATTCCATACGATAGGACTTGCAAGCATTCCATTTACATTGATTAACGACTGGTTTCCCAAGAGTTACAGATCGTTTGTGACGAAATATTTTATAATCCTATTTTCCCTACTAGCTCTAACCAATACGAAAATTTTCCAAGTTCTGATTACTCAATACGAATTTTATGTGCCATTTTGCTTTTTTACGTGCATAAATATATTTTCAGTGATTTTTATCAGCATTTTTATACCTTCGAAAACGGCGCCGTTGATAGAGGAAAATCGCTACAGTGCAAATATTACCATTACCTCAATTCAAATAACAAATAAAAAATAATCTGCATTGAGAAACATATGCATGTATCTGTATGAGATTTCCTGAAGAATCACGTGGTTTAAAATCGTACAATCAATTAACTAAACATTAGGGATTTTCCTCTGACGGTGGAAGCGTAAATTTATAGCGATTGACTTAAATGGGAAATTCAAGTTCCAAGATGTAAGGCTCATGAAAACATACTTAAAAACCTCTTAGACCGCAATATTTCTTCTTTCTTTAAACGAATTTTTGTTTTTGTTTACATTAAATTATTAATGTTATATTTTTTAATCATCAATTTGTTAATAAAACCTTTTTTTATTACAGAACGTTTTTGAAATATACATTTTTTAGGTAATTTTATATACAACGGTGTTTCACTAGCAACTTAACACCAATGTAATAGAGATTGAACAGAAAACCAGACATTTTATTTCTCCCAAACGTCGAAAATGCAAAGGACGCATTGTTTAACTTTTCTAAAAATGAAAAAACAAACTTTATCTTCTAAATATGTGAACAATTTCAAATTACTACTTGAAAACATTAACCTTGAGAGCGATATTTACTAAGCTGGCAACACTCAGGATTCCGGGAGATTTTTATGCAACTCTGAGCATCTGTAGTAAAGTTTGAGTTAAACGTATTCTAAAGGAGATGAAAATTTGAAACTGCTACTCGCTTTAAGAAATTGCGAATTTTTAAAGGAGAAATCGCATATGGGTAAAGGCATTCATTATGAGACCTATACTTTTTTAGGTGGCAAAACTCAGGATTGACCTAAGGAGAAACTCAATATTTAATTCAACCCGGTTATAGTGAACTTTCGGTTAAAACGAACTTTTCCCCTTTAATTGAAACGTCATCCATAAAAGCCAACGTATTTTTTTACTGGTTATAACGATCCCATTTATAACGAACTTCCGGATATAACGATCACTTTTTGGGTTAGTCGTATATTCACTTTCCGTTTATAACGAACTTTCACTCTCAACAACAATTTTGTCGAAGAATAATGTACCGTGGATGGCCGAGTATCGAATTCTTTCTTCTGGTTACAACTTTTATTTCACTCGGTACAACTTTAACTACGGAACAGGAACAAACTAACTTCTAAATTAATGTCAACTTCACAAACGATAACAATAACACACGGAAAACACGGATT